CAAAAAGAATTTAAACAGCCTCAAAAACAAAAATAACGGAGCCCATCAAGCTTGACTTTACTTTGTTTTGAACATCCCAGTTGGTATTTAGCTATCCAGTATGGCGGATTTAGTACCATGTGACAGTTTCATACAAAAGGTCTATTCTTCATTAGTTTTACCATACTAGTGGACTATCCTTCGTTCTGATTGGCTATGCATCTATTTTCAATAGTCCTCGACTAGCGAAAAGCTGCAACTTTTTGCGTATTTTCAGAAATAAAAACATTTAGTTATTCATATATTTCGTTCATTTTTTGTCCAACTAGTATGGTAATACTAAAACAATTAGATCTCTCGGCCTCGTGGACTTCAAGCGGCCTTCTACTTCATGGGCTATCAGCTCGTAGTCCACTCGCCCTCGAGATCTGATTGTTAAATATAGCTGTCCTAATACATATAAATCTGAAATAGCCTTTTTCATACCTATTTGGATCCGCACCATACTTTAAAAGCACCTTAGCCGTTCCAAGTTTTTCCGCCAACACTGCGTGAAACAATGCGGTCTCTCCATTACCGTTGCAGGCATCAGGATGAATTCCATTTTCTAACAGCTTACGGACCATAGACGAGTGTCCTTTAGAGGCCTGGTAGACGAGCTCCACAGCCATATATGGGATTACTGTTTCGAATTTTTGAAGTACTTTAGATAAATATCAAATGCTATNGCCATAGTTCATCAGTAAAGCCAGTGCAATAACGCTATCCTGAATACATGCGGCATTTATAGGAGATAATCCATTCTCAGAACACCTAAAAGGTAGTGAATGTTATCGTTATGATGCATGTTGACATCTCGAGTGGTTTTCCTTCGATCATGATCGATGTTAGAGAAGTATCGAAAGCAGATCGATGAAAGTTTGGAGTTTCGATTGTTGTGAGCAAAGACAAAATGCAAGAACTTGACAGTTCTCTGCGCCACCTTGTAAGATAACCTTGCCATCGAAACAAGCTGGTGGTGTGTAAAACGATAAATCTAAAACCCACTAAAAAAGTAAGTGAAACATCTGACGTTTCGGACTTTAATCCTTCAATTTTTCTTTAGAAACACCGATGCAGCTTACACTAGTTTACCGCTAGTTTCCAGCCATCATCGAAACGAGGACCATTAATTGAGCTTGCAAAGATGGAAATCTGGGGATAATTGTCTGTAGGTTTGAAATAAAGTTTCTATATTTGTACACTCAATGGTTTTCTCGGCTTAGAATCAAAGTCATGGCTACCTGTCAAGATGACGCAGGGAGCCGTTCGACTCCTGTAGTCATTTCGTAAATTTAAAAGAATTGCAGTAACAGTGGGCCTCGAAATGTACAATTGAAAATTGCTTCAAAAGCATAAAAAATGTCTTTTATCGCCGTATGGTACTAAATCCGCTATGGATTGCAAAAAGAATTTAAACAGCCTCAAAAACAAAAATAACGGAGCCCCTCAAACTTGACTTTACTTTGTTTTGAACATCCCAGTTGGTATTTAGCTATCCAGTATGGTGGATTTAGTACCATGTGACAGTTTCATACAAAAGTTCTATTCTTCAATATAGCTGTCCTAATTCATATAATCTGAAATAACCTATTTTACCTATTTGGGTCCGCGCCATATTTTAAAAGCACCTTAGCCGTTCCAAGTTTTTCCGCCAATACTGCGTGAAACAATGCGGTCTCTCCATTACCGTTGCAGGCATCAGGATGAATTCCATTTTCTAACAGCTTACGGACCATAGACGAGTGTCCTTTAGAGGCCTGGTAGACGAGCTCCACAGCCATATATGGGATTACTTTTTCGAATTTTTAAAGAACCTAATACTTTCAAGATAAATATTAAATGGATATGTTGTATATGACGCTAGAACGAGAATGCTCAGCGAGAACACTTGGTCGGAGATTCAACCAAGATAAAAAGAACAAAAAGCTTTTTTCTTTCTTAACGAGCTTTATAAAATAAAGCCGAATTAAAGTGCAGTACTTTGAAATTTCTTGTAGTGAAAACGGTGATAAACTGTTCACTTATCTTTTACGCTTAAAAAAAGCCATGCGTTCTGCAAATTAAAAGAACCTTCCCAATGGAAATACTTACAATTGATTGTGACGTCATGACATGGAAACCGCGCGCACTTAAAGCACAGGAATCCCAATCGCATATGAAAAGCAGTTTTTATTTTCCTTAAAAAAAAACAAGAACGATTATAGATAATGATTAAGATGGTGATATTTCAATGATCGATATAGTTTTCTTTTTATAGTCTTTTTGCTCTATATCTTCGTATTTTTCTGAGCGTTTTTGCTCGGGGCTCGTCTTGATTGTTTTTGTACTTGACTATTAAGATAATTCACAAGTCGGCTACTATGAACACCAAGAACCAYTGTTTTAATTAAAGCCGAACATATATGATTAAAATTGAAGACAAAAGAAATCGGATTTTCTCCAGAAATCCAATATTGAAMACCGCCAAGTAACATACTATCTGCCACCGATAAAGTTGCCATGGAGACGTAGAGATCTGACGGATAATACAAATCTAACAAACACGATTATAATGACTAATTGGTCCAACTGGCATATTTTCACATCTGGCAGACATCGATCTTGACATTGAGCTAGATAACTTTGGTTATCTARAAGCTACAAGGCCCGCAGACATCGGTTTACGTTTACGTTTCGGTTTCAACGCAACGGATGATGAAGAACTTTTACCAGAAACCAACGAGGTCGCCATATTGGATTTTTCTTTTTCAAACCTATTGAGAAAGCTCGATTAAAAAGTTTATGACAATGTTTTAGAGTTCCGGTTTGAAATTTCGGCTTYGATAATTACCATGAATTCCCTTTGAGCAGAGAGTGTTATTTGCTTTGCTTCTGTAAATTGCGAAGAGGTAAGGAGCTAAGAGAACTTTTGCGCTATCTAGGGAGGTAAGGTAAATAAAACTCGGAAGATGACWTCCACTCAGGATGTCGAAACGTCAGCTAATTATAACATTCTTTCTGAAGACTTCATATTACACTTACAAATAAAACTCTGCTCAATCACATTGTATAATATTCAAAAATTGTTCGTTTGTTTTTTGACATACTCAGTTGCGTGAATTCGTGCGCGCTGATTGGCTGATTTGAGTGTGTTAATCAATAAGAGGACATGCACTCTACGCTAACACCATCACTTCTTGTGCGCGCTCAGTTGAAAAACAAAAAACAAAAAAACACAACAACAATTATTTTACTGCGCCCATGGGTTCACTTGAGTTTTGAATTTGACGTCAAGAGTGTGTCAACATATTGCTCGCTGCGCTCGTGGCTCCACTTGAGTCTCGAGCATTGACGTCAAGWGTGTGTCAATATATAAGAGATGATGCAACTCAAAACTATGCACAATCAGTTAAATATTTAAAGTTTGATCAAATCTAATTTTTGAAGATAAGCGTTCAGTTATGACAAATTAAATGCTATAATATTCAAAATGGCACTTKTTAATTAGAGCAATTAGCCCTGTTTAGCAATCTTGACTTTCTTGTCAATTTAGATAGCCAAAGTGTCCTCAAATAAAGACTTTGACTTTGAATTTTGACAGCATGATAAATTGGATTAACATTTGAAATACTTAAAAAATTCCCTCAAGGGGAAATTTGATAGTATATTTAGTTGATTTTTCTGATCAACAAAATCAATAAAATGTTTTTATTTTGGCATCAGTTTCGACCATTTMAAAAAAATTCGATGTGAGCTTTCCTTYGTTTATAAAACTTATACGTCAYKATCGTTCTCATGTTCTCTTAGTCATCAATATTGTGGCCATTTTGGACAAATTTTTAGTTAGCTTTATAATATTAAAACTGTTTTTCTTAGTTTACAAGGTTAATGGATAAAAAGCGCCTTCTGAGAGGAAGTAAAGTTTAAAGGAGACGTTAGGACCGAACGATAAGATATATAAAACGTCAAACCTGAAATGTCCGCCATCTTGAATTTGAGATATCAAGATCACTTTGCAATTTTCAAATTTTATGTCAACATGCTGCACGGATTTAGTGCGTTTAAAATAAAGTCATTAAACTGGTGAAACAAAACTTGACTATTAAAGTGTGGTAKTCAAATAGACACAGAAGAAAAAAATGCAATTAGAGCGTACTAAGGTGTATTAGTGTTTTATCTATTGCGGGTTTTTTGACTTCACTCTAGTTTATAGAGCGTGAAATAGAGAGCGTACAAACTATAATTCTATTTATTTTGCACGTTTTTCTCTTTGTCATTTTGCTGCATCGCATGTTGATGATATACTTTTTTCTATTTAATTCCCTTGGTTTCACAGTATTAGTGTTAAAGAGCTTTGACAGAGCTAGACAATAGAATTTCGACAAGCCCCAGGAAGACAACCACCCACTATAKACGAATAAACATTCATACAGTTGTTTCTAAATCAAGACTTCGTCAATAAAACGTCATTTGCATTAACAAACTAGAAGAAGTGAATTTGTTTGAATGAACCGAACCGTCGGATTGACTTAGGAGATTATAATTTTAATACATTTGATATTACTTAAGCTACTTAGACATTCAGTAAGTCTCAGTTAAGACCTCAAACGGCTCAAATGACTCCCTGTATTCCAACCACAAAGCGAATAATTCTGCGTATATCCCTTTTACTTTGAAACATGAAATATTAAAAAGGTGAATTTTTAAACTTAACAATTATGTGCAAGTAATTTGTATGAGAAATGACGACTTGTCTTAAAGCGTTCTGCGTCGGTGATAATTTAGCAAATCTTGTACTCTRTTGTCGTATTCAGTTATAATGTTACCTTTTAAAATTAAGCTATGAAGTTTTAATTTTTAGATTTTATAAAACAAGATTGATGACGTARTGATTTTTAAATGACCAGCAACTGTGCTTTCAATTGATCCGGGTAGTTATGTGAGAGGTAAAATTTGCATAAAAATAATGCAATTCGTTTGGTAGTACACAAGGAGCCATTTGAAAAACAAAACGGCAATGAGATCAYAACATWAAGATGAATCTCGTTCAATCTTACGTCTTTGTACATTTTATCGTCTTCCACGTCGCATTTGGTAAACTGACGCTYAAAATAGGTAAATTATCTTATCWACAAACTCACATCTATTGCTTGGGTTAAATGTATACTTATTTTGACCTACAGGAGGGATATTTTCCGCGGTAAATTACAGCCTCGACGAAAGAGTGTTCAGATTCGCTATTGAATCTGTAAACCGACAGAAAATTGCCCCGGGAGTTAAATTTGTGCCAGTTATTGCGAGAGCTGATGTGTCGAGTTCTTACGATAATCTCAAGCAAGGTCAGTAAATAAATTTTATTTATTCTTTTTTATAAATATAACTTCATTTCGAGAGAAAATTGTGATTTCCACTATCCAAAAAAGTCGSGAAATCATCACTTAAATGTAAAATGAGGTGTTTAATTGTAAAGTGCTATAAAATTCTAAATTTCAATGTACTAACATGAGATAATTCGTATCAGTAGCCCGCGAAATGAAACCTACTTAATCCCAAACAGTCAATGCGATATTAACTTATTCCAAAACAAACTTAAAACACGATGATATATAATGTGTTGTTCAAATGCTCAAAAATGCTTTATATAAGTAAGTATGATGCGGCCTCAATAATTTAAACACAAAYACAGGACCAGCACAATAACTTCAAATTGACAATATGTTTWATTCATTCTAGAGTTGAAAAACATATCCTGCAAAATAAGTGAATAATGTAAAAACAATCTTTTTWGTTGTAATTGTGTTGTTAGAAAAGGGAAATTGCTTTGTAATGTTTTGGTACAAGCTCTGCTCTATTTCAAAAGCAAATGGCGCTCGTTCTCGACTCTTTTTGTCACTATAAAAGCCTTTTCAGCCTAAGGGCCATGAATCTTGAATAGTCAAGCTGTTGTAAGGACATTTTAAAGTATATTTTCACTGACTTTAGAGGTTCCATTCTAAAAAAGAGCTAATAGATTKATTATGTGATTTTTATATTCGCGTCATGAATAAAAGTCCTTGTTACTTCAGAAACAGCAGGTAGAACTAAACCTTTTCAAATTCAAAACAAAGCATACAACTCCGAAAACAATACATCAGTTAATCCATGTTCCTACTAAAAACCATGTGCGAACATTATTACCAGACGAAAGGTCTTAAAGTTAAACAGAAAAATAAAGGGATTTTGGATATCTTAATTGCAAATGTCTGCGAAGTTAATTAATCTTGATTCTAACAAATCTGACTTTCAGTACATTCAATAATATACCTAATATTCTAAACAAGTATGATATTGAAGCTACGATCCTTAAATAACCACAAACCCTTGTCCAAACCAGGCGTCCTGGTTCAAACTTTGCCCTAGTGTCGCGCSAGATTTATAGTTGTCGACCCGAATACATTTGGTAAGGCGTTGATTCGTATATTGACAATCCAAACAGAGCTCGAATTAAAGAAAAAAGATCCGATTGAATTTACTTTTGATTTCATCTACTATCAATGACGCAAAAATGATATATTTGTGCATTTAGTTGGGTATCAATGACGATAGCTCGGTGTGTTGAGCTTTTGACGCGCAGTAGAACGACTGGCGTTGCTGTGAAACACTGGGAACGCCACGCGCGGAACGTAACTGCTCGGTACGTCGAGTTGTTTATGTGCCAAATTCAGAATATTGAATTATCGGCGCGACGACAGCACGACGTATGAAACAGGCCAAACTTATTGTCAATGCTGAGGAGTTTTTTTTATAGCTATGTCAAAAAAGCTTGTCAGGTGAAATGGAGAATGGCAAATGGCAAACAGCGATTGYAACGACCGAAAGGAGCCATGGGTTTTGCTAATTGATGAGAAATATTAACTGATTTATATTGTCAGATAATCTGTGGCATGGTGAACATCGGCTCCATTTAGTCTCCATTTTYAATAAGCAAGGCTAAGTTAGCAAATGAAATTGTGTAAGTTAAACAGCTCAAACATAGTCCCACGGTCATACAATCGCTGTTCGACAACCGCCGTTCGCCRTTATCCCGGACAGTTTTTTTTTTAAATAAGTGTATTCCCGTCCTCAAAAATATAGAATATAAAAACGCAATGTATGTCGAGAATGCAAATGAAAAAAAAACAAGAAGAGTATCGTTAGCCTTCACTACATGCAAGATTCGACGTGTGACACCGGTCTTTAATCAAAGTTCTGGAGTGTTTAATAGTATATATTTGATCTAGTTTTTTTAGCAATTGATTGTTGTTCTCAAAACATATCTCTAGTATTGTCGAAAGTCGTAGTAATATAAGCTTTCAAACCCTGGCCTTTTTCCCACGAGCAGTCTGGACAAAACAGAAAACATAGTCATGTGTGTTGCAGATAAACATGCAAAAATGTGCGCTGATTTGCAGTTCAAAGTGGCGACCGCTGTTATATATAAACAACAGACAACCTTTCATCCTGTTCATAAGGTTTTTGACAAAACAAAAACAARGAAGACTATATAAAATTCAGTATTTTTCCTGAATGCTAACTAGCTTCAATTCAATGAAAATAAATATATAAAAAATGAAAAGAAAAACAGAAAAAAACTGAATAAAAGGAAAATAAAAGCATCGGTTTGATAGCATAGCCCTGCAGGGCAGACTCTTACCGGAATCTTCTTAGAAAAATTWCGTTTGGGCATTTGCGTAGAAAATGACAGTTATTTTAGATTTTGTATGATGATTATTATACAAAGTAAACTGATTAAAAATATATGCAGCCGACGGGGAGAAACGCAGGAAGGAATTAGAAAGCATGAAAAGGAACTAGTTGCAAATGAAGCAAAGAAGAGAGTTATTTAGGAGGAAGAAGGAAGGGCTCTTAGAACCACGACAAATATGATAATCATAACTTATATTTTGAAGTCGTTTGGAACTGTGTTTGGCTATTTTCTCGATTTTTAAAGTTTTGAATCGTCTGGAACTTCCAGATATTATAGCGAAAAGACCTTTCAACAGTCGGCCATTTTGCKTTTTCCTTATATGGCATAGATTCGCTAAAGGAAGCCCAAACCAAAAACACAGGGATACCGCACGAACGATAAAAAAATTACTGATAATGTGAATATTTTTCTTTTTGTCTTTAAAAATAAAAATTAATTAATCAATTAAAATTACTTAATTAATAAAAAATTTAAAAATTTACTGATAATTAATTAATTAATTAATTAAAAATCTAAAAATATACTGATAATGTGAATATTTTTCTTTTTGTCTTTAGCGAATTATTTAGTGTCTCAAGGTGTTATAGCAGTGGTTGGCCCAAGAGCTTCAACAGCTGTCAAATGTTCTCAAGGCGTCTTCAAGCAATTCCATATTCCCCAAATCGCTCCAACCGCTAGCGATCCAACTTTCGTTTACTCCAACCACAGATATCCCTTTTTACTGCGCATGACATCAAGCGCATCYACGCAGGACAACTTGCTTGTGCAGTTTGTGAAGAAGTACAACTGGGAGAGAATGGGCATTCTGACGTCACGATTTGATTATGGTAATGTATATGATGGACATGTGTCAGTCTATGCAAATTAGTTGCTAATGAGTATAACAGGGCATGCTGACTAATTACAATGCCTGTTTTATAATTTAAAGAAATACATATTTTATAAATAGGCCAATAAGATGGTGCGTATTAGAATTATTTCGTAATTGCGTTTTAACCAAACACAGGCGCGTATGTAGCGTGGACGTTTTGGTTAGTACGCATATCTCAAGGACCGCGACACATATTTTGGATCTGGGGGTCTAACGACCGCCAAAGGAGGGAGTATTAAGGGAGTCTGGACCTCCCCCAGGGCATTTTGTGAAGTAATATCTCTTAGGAATACGATTGTCAGCGTTTTGAGAGACAGCGAGGGCATGTAAAAGGGATCAATTTTTCGTGAATTTTTAAGTAATTTTTGTGAAATTTTTAATATTTCCTTGCAACTAGTACGCACGAGCGTATATGCGTAAAGGAAGCTACGCGCCTGAAATTGAGCGCGCATTATAACCATAAACATGTTAGCCAATCAGAGTGCTTTTTATACATAATAGGCATGAATGGTCTGACGGATTTCAAAGAGTGGGCCGCGACTTCTGGATGGACGATCTTAGCGGACGAACATTTCATGGTCTCTCCTAACACAAACAAAGTCAACGCTACGAAAGAACTACTGCGCCTGCGTGAGCGAGGGACGAGGGTKGTTATTCTGAATTGTGAATCACAATTTGTATCTTCCATCTTASAACAAGCWTCCAAACTTGACATGATAAGCGATTGGGTTTGGATACTGACAGACGGAGCAATAGCAGAGGTTAGTAGAACARTAGACTTACCCAAGCCGGACTCTCTTTTACTCCCATGAATGAGTGAATATTGAGCGCGAAGCGTGATTGTCGAGCGCGGAGCGCGAGAGGCGAGCCGCAAGGCAAGTAAGGAGATACAGAACGAGCGGAAAACGGACTTTGCAAAAGTCTAGTATAGAACAGTCGAACCTCCATTAATCGGTCACCTTGGTGAAAGACCAGATGACCGCTTAATAGAGGTCGACCGTTTAATAGAGGCCACGTTTACAGTAAAAATATATGGGAATTGCATTTTGTGTAATTCATGAGAGACCGCTTAATGGAGGGTGATCGTTTAAAATAGAGGTCACATTTACAGTAGATATATACATGGGAATTGACTTTTGGGTAATTCATGACTGACCGCTTAATGGAGGGTGACCGCTAAATAGAGGGTCGCTGAGGTTTGACTGTAGTCTGCATTAGCTGTCATGTTTTCCCTTGGTGACGTCATGTTTGCTATCGCGAAGAGCATCATGGTATRTCTTCAGAAGCGGTTTTTTGATGGCTATAGTCTTAAGTAACAATGCGCGCAAAAAGCAGGCAAACTTCTATTGTTCTGCGGCAATTGCAACTTCCTTACATACGAATGTCTTGGTTTTCACACTATTATATATCAACCTATGGGTAAAACATTTTTAAAATAAAATGTGGATAAACTCTGCTTTGAAACAAAGTTTCTTTTGTATTAAAAGATCTTGTCCAATCATAAGCACTCAAAACAATAGCCAAAAGATGCTTCCAATTTGCTATGTTCCCCACATAGAATTGCTATTAATATTAAAGMTAAGGAAAGCTTTTATGAAGTTAGAATCAGACATTAAATAAAATGTTAAAAAATGCGATTACTTTTGAAAATATGTCAGATTTTAATGTTTTAACCAATGAGATGGATGGATTATACAATACACAATTAGCACCTTCATGCATTCCATTGCCGTTTGCCTGCCTGCTTCTTACTCGGACCATTACTTAACCTTTAAAAATCTGTTTAAATTATAAGGATGACGAAAAAGTCAAGTACATCGAGGGTCTTATCGGAGTTCGTTTTCCTAAAGATGGCTATGGCAAGTTATACAGGAAAGTTAACGAGGAATGGAAGGCCTCGGGAGAGTCTGGTTTGATTCAGGTTTGAAGTAGMCGCTATCTTTTATAATACGCTTCAGTCGTGAGATTGTCATAGCAAAAACGGTGCCAAAGATTCCGATTAAAAATGTGTTCTTGATTTTTTAAATATGGAAACTGTGGTGGCTTCATATATTCATTCGCAATTCGGTTACATCCGTCGGTAGATCGAATCTTACAATATCTCCATTCATAGAACATATAAAGGGATAATAAAAAAATAGGTTTTTGCTTATATTACGATGTATGCTCGAAATGAATGACGGTTAACCATGGCTCCGTTTAAGATCTCTTATCACATACGTATCACTAAGTTGCATTTCTATCTCATTTCTTAGTTTCTTATTATTTCTTTTCTTTTTGTGACAGTCACGCGCCGGAAGAGTGTACGATTCTGTTCTCACCATAGCTTACGGCGTTAAGGATATGATTCGAGCCAACATCACAATCTCACCTCCAAGAACAAATGGTGGAATGTGTCAGAGTAATGATAGTCCTCCTTGGCGACAGGGAAGCAGATTCTTTAAGATGCTTAAAGGAGTAAGAAAAAGAAAATCATAGTTTAAATATATCTAGTATAATAGAGAGTGCCGCGTGAAAAACACTCAGTTTGCTGAAGAAGGCCGAAGTGATGAAACGTCCAATAAACAGAGTTATTATAGCTTCAAGTTGATGTTTTGTTCTATTTCATTCTACTTATCTAGTATAATATCATTACTTAATGGCATGTATTAATGATAAAATAGACATTCTTATTAAATATTATTTTAACATTATCACTATTGGCATCATTATTGCTATCATCATCAA